GGACTAGTTAGAAGTCTCAGGTCCAGGCAGAAAAGAATAATTGAAAGAACAAAAAATAGAGGACAACTACTGCACCGTAACAGTGACTGATTACATATGTCAAGTAAGAGAGAGGCAAGTTAACAATGTCACCAGGTTTCTTATCCAGCATTTCCATTTTCTTGTTTTCTGGAATATCTTTGGCAGTGCATTTTGTACATTATTACGCCTCCAAATTATCGTTTTACCAAACATACCATAGAGATGAAAACCATGCTGTTCTTTACTTGCTGCAAAAAAGAAATTTGCTTGACCAAGTGCAGACTGTGAAGGTAAATGATAAGATTAACGTCTAGGATAACTAACGTATGTGATGATTTAACAATACCATGGTGAAGTGAGTTCAGGAATTGGGGTGTTTAGATATAGTTTTGAATTTCAGCTTCACTATGCTGGAGCTTGAGACTTTGGACACTTAATGCCCCTGAGCTTTTATTTCTTCATTTATAAGTTGGAGTGTTTTCAGTTAATACGAACACATGGACAGCTGGAACAAGCCCTGGATATCAACTGGCCCAAACTTTTTAAGTTAGTGATGAACTTTGTCTCAAAGCATATCAATGATTTACACAATGTTTCTTAATAGAGTTAGAATGCAAAAGTAATCTACCTGACTCTCTCTCTCTCATCAACTTCTGTTCCCATTCTCCAAAATGACTCTTCTGAGCATCTACTCCCCTCAATTTCCAACTTGCTCCAGCCCTTCTTCCCTCACTTCTCATCTTACGTTTATTAGACAAATTTCGTATCTTGGAATGCTGGGCCACGCTCTCCTTCCAGCGTCCCCTGCTAACCCTCCACCCAACAAATCCTGTACTCCAGCCACAACAAACTTCTTGTCATTCCCAAAACAGGACCAGCCTTTTACCATCTCATGACATTTCACATAGTCTTTCCTTGTTAGAATACCCTTCCTCTAGACTATCAGATCCATCACCTCCTATGAAATGCCTTTATTGATTCCCTCAAGAAGAGTTCGTCTATTCCTCTTCTGTACTCCCTCAACAATCTGTTCATAATAGAATGGTTTTCTATCCTCTTGATGTATCTGTTTTGCTCCCTAGATCACAATGTTTCTTAAGAGCCAAGGTCAGATCTTATTTCATTTATTTACCACAGTGTCGGCACTTAGCACAGTGTCTGGCAGATTTTAGGCACACAAAAACCTGGATCTCTTGGCCCCTAATTCAGCTGGGATCTGTATGTTTGGTATCACCTAGCTGTGTCTAGAGGCATGGATAGAGATTGTATAACATGGGTCATTGTAATGGTTGGCCTAACAGTCCCAATTAAAATAGTCTCTACTGAAGTCCAAAATCAAGACCCGTAATATTGGGGATTGCTATATAGGTAGCCAGAAAGGCAAATGCCACCTCAGGAATAAGATTGGCAGAACAAATGTGTGTGTGTGTGTAAGTGTGTGTGTGTGTGTGTGTGTGTGTAATTCTTATGACTAAAATATGTACCAAATCAGATTAACTTTTCTATTACTAACCTCTCTTCACTAAGAATTGTGTAGACAGGTGGGTAAACATCTCAAGCCTAGTTAAACCCTCTTTTGTGCCCTTCCTTTGAACTCCACACTTGCCCTTACCAGAAGGTAATATCTATAGAAACAGAAGTTGCTGTTATCTAACTCCTGTATAAGGTGTTCTTCCTTAACTTTAGCTGCTTTTGCTGCAGTTGTGATAATATCTACCCTTCTCAGTATCTGTGTTTCCTCTAGCTCCTCCCCTCAGCATATTTATGTTGCATGGGAGACGTACCTGTCAGTCAAGGCAAGATATCCTACAGCTCCCGTGATTTGATTCACTTTGCAAATGCATATCTGCTTGGTTCATTTTTCCCACCCAGTACTGACCACTGTGATTTTCCAAGTCATGCTATCTTCCGGGCATCTGCTTTTCAAAACAGCATACTTTGATGCCTCCCTGTCCCCCACCCCTTCCCGGAGAATAGTCTCAGGTACTATTAGTAATTTCACATTCCATGATAAATTACGAGCCTTGCCATATCCATAGTCTTTTGAAAGGTTACACCTAGTAAATGGTCATAGTGTCAGTGAGCTTTCTGTCAAAGCTTTATTGGTCTTGCAAACCATCTTCGATATATTTTTGAGTTAGATATAACGTCTCAGTCTTGTATCCTGGCCAACACCACACCACAAGATCAACAGTTAAATCTCTGCATGCTCTTCCAATCCTTACATTTTACTAATTCTTCTATTGCATTACTCTTCATACCATGGTGATAGGATATTGATCCTGCATAAAAAGAGCTATCTTTAATATAACAAATACTTAATTGACTTTCAGATCCACACTGAACCAGCAGAAAAGCTCTTGTCAGCACTTTTAATTAATTTACCTCTTACATGGATCCTGTATGTGATATTTCTTCAGTATCTCCTGCCTCCAGATCTAGGTTTTAATGTGTGTGTGTGTGTGCGCACGCGCGTGTATGTACGCATGCATGCTATTGCCCCAATAGCATCCTTACCCCTACTCTGAATTTTTTAAAATTTTATAAACTTCAAGTAGGTTTGTACCTATAAATGTTGTTAAAAAATCACCACCAGAAAATAGACATGAATGAGATATACTGTATACTTAATAAATATATATACAAGTTGGTTTTAAAACATTTAGATAAATGTTGGATCACAAAGAAATTCAGATGTTCGTTGTCAGTTTTCAGGGTGAAACCATTACTGCACTAACAAGGTTTGAAATTGAGTGAGTGATATGGAGAGGTTGCCAGCTTACATGATTATAGTTACAGAAATATATAGAAATATATAGTAAGGCTATGTAGTCAAAGAGGTTTAATCAGTGCAGTTAAATAAGTGCTTCTGATCATAATTTGTCACATGCACACATTTCCATGGCAAAGGGCCAAATACATTTAATGCAATTCAAGGATGACGAGGAGAGTGATGGCTTCTAACGAGCAATTGATTAGCAGTAAACAGAGAAATTAAGAATCTGGTTTAAACTCCATTTAGAACAGGAGGGCGTTTTCCTTTGCTGTGGCTCCTCATCCAAGCTTATTAATGAAGTAAGAAGAAGGAAAAACCTAATTCTTTGATTATATTATTTGAAGATAAAGAACCCCAAATTGTGAAGATTAACATGAATCTTAGTTAAAAAATAAATATATGCAGAAATAACCTACAGTGACAAGCAACTCACTTAAGCTATGACCTGGGTCTTTGATTCTAGAACTACTAAAATGATTGGGAGGTAAAAAGGATTGAAAAATGTATTGTACTATACTATTATCTAGAAGACTGATTATTATGCAAAAGTGTATTCCAATTTCAATTTTAAAAACTACTAATTTTTTCTCAACAGCTGTAATTTGGGATCCCATGGGATGACATATGAGGATACACAGGAAACTTTGTAGGTTATTGTTGGTTTGGTGACTTGATTCGCCAAGGCTACTTGGGAAACATTTCCAGTGTCCGAAGCTACAATAACATGGTAGCCATACTAATTCATTACAGCTGGGAACACGTAGTATACAGAACACAATAAGGACCTGAAAATGTGCTAAAAAGAATAGGGTATATCTTTTAAACACTCTTCACCTTGGTTTGGATTTTTATGTAGCACAACAGAAAAGTCTTAGAAGAGTTTGTAGACATTGAGTATGTAGACTTGGTTACGTATTCATGCTATCTTACACTGGTTGCCTAAAGGCTGTTGAGGTCCTGATAGCGTGTAGTATATTAAAGGTGTGTGAGGACTACAGTGTGTGTCACAATTCAAACCAATTTAAGCAAATGTTTGTTGAGTTCCTACACATAATTTGGATACTGTGGTAGGTGGGCATGCAAAGATGATTTCTGTAATAGAAACAACACTTATTTCAACTAGCACACAGTTGTCTTTCATAGTAAATAATATTTTTTAAAACCCTTTTCTTCAGCAGTTATTAACTTATGGCTCACTAGAAATACTACCTTACATTTTGGATATAAATGGACATATAATTAATTCATTTTCATTGAAAACCATAGTTAAGCTCAAGAAATTCTAATGTTCACTAATACTCAAATAGCATTTAAAGGGAAAGTTTATCATTTCAAATCCATCATGTCAAAAATTGTGGCTTATATTTTCTCTTTATATATTAGATCTTAAAAGCCTTGTTGATGGCTCTTTCATCTAAATCAGTAATATTTAACCTTTTGAGAATCTCTTAAAAGCTATTCAAGTTCTCATCAGAAAAATGCATATGCTCACACACATACACACAATATATTACATATATTTTCTGAGGATTGTTCAGATTGAGAAATACTATGTTAAATGCTATTAGTAAGAGTGCATTTCTGAAGATGCAACTTATAAAATTACAACTCATTTTAGAAATTAAGAGATGATCTTTCAAGGAATTATATTTATGGGTTAGAATTTAGTTTCCTATCCAAATTACTGATAAGTATGTATTTTTTCACAAAGGTCTGGCTGTAGTTTGCCCCTATGATGGAAAAAAAAAATAGTTAGGCCAGGCTTCTGATAAATTTAGCATGAATTTAAGTCATTCCTAAGCATGACCATATGTGGAGGTGATCCTTTGACATATATGCCTTACAGCTTTGTTATGTAGTCATACTATCTTGCACTGGTTGCCTAAAGGTTGTTGAGGTCCTGATAGTACGTAGCATATTTGGGGCTGTTATTATTGTAATGGACAAGCTACAATTCTAAGACATCTTTTCAAATGTAATTGAGTTCCTCCATTATCCTTCTGTGCTTCTCCGTCTCAGGTCTCAGAATAGCTCAGAAGAGTCCCTGCCTTGAGTTTTCTTTGGAACAGTTCCAGAGCTGAACAGGTGATAGCATAAACATATCCCAGTCTTGCCATTTTGGGTAAGCAAGCAAGCAGCTCTACATGGTGGCTCCTCCTGGATGTAAATTGATTTTAATGATTTCTTTCTTTCTCCTGGGCAGGATTTATGTGGGCATCATTCATGTGACACCCTGGGAATGGCAGACGTTGGGACCATATGTTCTCCGGAGCGCAGCTGTGCTGTGATTGAAGATGATGGTCTCCATGCAGCTTTCACTGTGGCTCACGAAATTGGTATGCAACGCCTTTTTTCTTCCCTTGCCAAATCAAACACTTGTAACAGCTGCAACAGGAACCAAAATACTTGGCAATTAATTCCAGATTTCTACTGGTTCAGATGTACCGTTGGGGATTAAACTTGTTTATATTTGTACTTTGAGGGTTAACTAATACTGGAGAGGGAAGGCAAAGTCAGGAACATAGTAGATGTTTCCTTGTGACAGTGTCATTGACAAGTTTTAAGTGAAATTCACTACTGCTACTGTCTTCTTACTGTCTTTTTAAGCATCCCTAAATGACACCTAGAAGAAATCTGTCACAGTTGACTATGGAATGCAGAGACGTTCCTCTTACATGTTACTCAAGATGGTAATGACTCACCCAGGGCTAATCAGTTTGCACAGAAATTTAACATGTTTTACTCCATTGTAAGTGATAATTGTAGGCTTGTGTCAAAGGTAATCAATAGCTTATGGTAAATATTCCCATCTCATTCTTAACAGTAAGGCAAATGAAACCAAGCTTGACACTCAACAGGGCTCGCTTTAAAATGTCACTTACGTGATTTGTTTGTTATTATAAGAAACACATCTAAATTCTACAGCTATGAATATAGGACTGAGTTAATTGTTTAAAATATGTCCCTGCAGTAAGGAATATGTGCTTCTTAATTGTTGACCCAGGTTACTAGGTGTATGAAAAATTGGCTTAGCATTTAGGAATAGCTGTTAGGATTAGCCACATCTGGACCCAATTCTTGCTAAAAATACTTTCTACCAGTGTCACCTTGGTCTAATTACTTAAACTCTCTGTTCTTCAGTTTTCATATCTGAAATATATGCATGATAGTACCTATTTCATGGAGCAGTTTTAGGGACCAAATTGGGTAGGGTATACATAGTAGGTGTTATTTATATCCATGTGTACTTCTGTTTTGCTTTTTAGTTAAACAGTTCATTTACTTTTTACAAATATGTATCACCTCTTAGAATCACCTTTTTGGAAGCAGAATGTAGTTTGATAATTTATACTTGGGTTTTTTTACTATATTTTTATTAAATAGATTTAGGTGGGTATTTTTTAAGCTATAACCATACTTTTCCAATTGAAATTAAAACTTTTTTGCATTCCTTGTAGGCGGAGAGTATTTTCACAACGTGTCTATTTCTAACTGCTGTTTTCTTTGGGTATTTAAAATAACTTCCAATCAAAGGTATGATTGCATAAGTCAGAGCATTATAGCAGTAAGATAGAATTCCATAGTTAAAGTTCCATTCACAAATATTAATCATGATATCAATGTTCCTGACACTCTTCTTACCATCTAAGAAAAATAACATAAACATAAGGTCTCAGCTCTGTCTCTGTGTTCTCTGTTGTATCTCAGGCGAGTGATTCTGACACTTTGAGTCTCCATTTCTTCCCTATAAGGTGGACCAATATTGAAGCCTGGCTTTCTCGTGTGCTCACTAAAGGAGCTGCTATGCCTGAAAGACTTTTTAAAATACATGCCATTTGAGCTTCAGGATAGGGATTATGTCTTCACTTGTCTCTCACTCATGCCTGTTAAACTAACTGATAAAAATACAGTCTAGTATAGAAACTTTATCAATATATATGACATATCTATGTATGTGCATGAGTGAGTAAGTAGGAGAAAGAAACGTGAGAGCTGCTCAAGACAGCATCCCAACATTAGTCCAAATACTCAAGAGGACTGTACTTAAACAGAGGAGATTTTAAAAGTATGCCAGGAATTAATCACCATCACTCAAATGAGAGAAGTCTCATAAGGTTCTAAATCCCTGGGAAGGCAGAGAGGCTGGTGCATTTCAGACTGGGTGGAGAAATGATGGGGATAAGCAACAGGGTTGGATTTGGGCATTGTCCATCCACAGGATTAGGAGCTCTAAATTCAAAAGAAGAATTTATATATTTCTGAATTCTTCAAAAGAAGAAATTATACATTCCTTGAAGGAAGGGAAATGTCTTCTCTCTCCTGCTTTCCTGTAGTGATCTGTTTTCACACATTGACAACATCTGAGAGGTTTCCCTGTAAGAGAAAAACTGTGGCAATAAATGCAGCTTCATCAGGATTGCTTTGATTTTCCAGGCAACTAAGCTGGGATGAAGAGCTTTGCAGTGTCACCTTTCCCAGCTCTCCTGAATCCTAAACTGAGTAAGGGTGTTGGGTTACACAGGCAGGTGCAGCAGTCTGAGAGGTAGGAAGCCAGATGCTGAGAAGAACAAACGTTATATTAAAACTATATATATATATATATATATATACACACACATGCACGCACACACACACACACAATATATATAGTGTGTGTGTGTATATATATATACTATAAGTATTAATGTATATACTATATATGTATACACAATAAGAACGTTTTTTAATAGTATGAGAATACTGGGCATAGTTATACAAGAGAACAATGTGGGAGAGATGTAGGCTTCTATATGCAAAATCAAACCTGAATCTTTGATATATGATTCTGCCCTGTGTCCCCTCTAATTTCCTGGTTGGATCATCTCTGTATACTTCTTTAGAATTCTCTATAATTCATTCTCAAATCAAACACTGCCCACGTAATTTCTTTTATTTTTTTGTACTGCATATGGCCTAATCTGAGATATCAACCTGATCAGTATGATTTGAGCATCATGTATTGCAACACAGGTATTGATACTAAACTCTGTACCTCACAGATATGTATAATCAACTATGTTTCCATAAATAAATAAATAAAAGGAAAAAAGATCTTGAGGTAGGGAATATAGATTTAATTCCCCTTTCATAAAGGAATCTGGCTTTCATTCTCTTTTTCTAATTACTTTATTATTTAATTTTGCTTTTTGTCTGAATATCATGAACATGTGTTATAAAGTATCAGCCTTAAACATTTAGAAAAGGTCACCTTACAGAAGGTTTCCTAATCATCTGTGTATTACTACAGAGTCTTGCCTCTATAGCCAGTGTAATCTTGGGTAATGAAGCTCATTGATATGTTTCCAGTTCTTTATTTATATTTCGTTTCATGAGGCTATCAGCCCAAGCTGACTATGCTCTAGATTCTAATTCTGCTGTATTTTTTCATGCAATCTCCCTCTTTCCCTTTTAGCAGACATTTGGTACTCTTCAGATTTGGAAGTTACGTATATGGTCTAACTATGGTGATGAAAGTGATATTTTGAAACCTCAGTTTTCCAGAGGGTTTTGAATTTTTTTTGAGCCTTATTCCAAAATGTGCAGTTTGCTTCATGCAAACAGATGGTGTAAATGTGTTACTGTGCTGCAAACATAAGCTGAGAGAAAATTTCCAGGGTGCTCCCATAATTTTTCTACTTTATTTCTTCTATAAGCAGTAAAAGGATATATTTGATTGAGAATAACACTTTCATTAACTGACTTATAGGTTCCCGTAGGAGTACCCAACTATTTCCTTTTTCTAAACATAGCAGTTTAAAAATACAAAGTCAAATGGCAGAATTTCATTCTTTTTTTTACGGCTAAGTAGTGTTCCATTGTGTATATATACCACAATTTCCTTATCCAGTCATCTGTCAATGGACACTTTGGTTGGTTCCATACTTTGGCTATTGCAATGAACATGGGAGTGCAGCTATGACATAATGATTTCCATTCCTTTGGATATACACCCAGCAGTGGGATTGCTGGATTATATTGTAGTTCTATCTATAGTTGTTTGAGTAGCCTTTATATGTTTTCCATAATAGCTGTGCTAATTTACAATCTTACCAACAGCATAGAAGAGTTCCCCTTTCCCCACATCCTCTCCAGCATTTGTTATTTTCAGTCTTTTTAATAATGGCCAGTCTAACTGGGGTAAGATGATATCTCAATGTGGTTTTGATTTGCATTTCTCTGAACACTAGTAATGCTGAGCATTTTTTCATGTACCTGTTGGCCATTTGTATGTCTTCCTTTGAAAAATGTCTACTCATCTCCTTTGCTCATTTTTTTAATTGGATTATTTGTTTTTCATTTGAGTTCTTTGTATATTCTGGATATTACTACTTTGTTGGATGTATAGTTTCTGCCATTGTAGCAACATGGATGAGTCTGGAGAAAATTTTGTTAAGTGGAATAAGCCAGATAAGGGAAGAGAAATACCACATGTTCTCACTCATAACTGGGTGCTAGGTAGGAAGGAAGGAAGGAAGGAGGGAGGGAGGGAGGGAGGGAAGGAAGGAGGGAGGGAGGAAGGAAGGGGAGGAATGACCATAACAATATGTTGAATTTTCAGTAGAGAACAAACCTTAGGACACTAGAAATGAGGGAAGGGACAGAGGTGGTTTGGGGAGTGATTGGTCAGGTAAAGGGCATAAAGAAAAATCATGATTTGTAATAATGAATATGCTAATAATAAATAATAAAATTTTTAAAAATAATAAAAATACAAAGTCAAGTACATTTTATGTACAAACAAATTGAATCAAAATTTCCTTTTTTCTTTGACCTGCTCCACCTGAAAAATTTTCTACATTGAAATTAACACATAATGGGCTAGCCCGGTGGCACACTCGGTAGAGTGAGGCGCTTGAGAGCGCGGCGGCGCTCCCGCCGAGGGTTCGGATCCCATATAGAGACCGGTCTGCTCACTGGTTGAGCGTGGTGCAGGCATGACACCGAGGGTTGCAATCCCGTTACTGGTCACACACAAAAAAAAAAGACAAAAAGGAAATTAACACGTAAGATAGATGCAAAGCTGAAGTCCCTTTCTTGTCATATTTCTATCCATGGTGTTAAATTACTTAAAATTAAAATGACCTGGGTTAAATGAGCAATTCTGAAAAGTTACTTATTTCTTGTATCCCATAATAACTGGAACACTTCCCTTTTTCTGCTAATTTTTTTGGAAAAAGAGCTGTGTTTTGGAGGCACATAGTAAAGTGATGCCAATCCAGGCTTCTGGAAGAGAGATGTTGATTAGTATATATAGACTCTGCATAGGCAGTAATAAACTGCCTTCCCCCTTGCTATG